GACGCCTGTCGACTGCCGTCAGGTACCAGCACCTCCGCGTCAGGAAGATCCTCCGCTGGAGCTGCTGTAGCTGGTGGTACTTCTGGCGTTGCCGTAGCTGCTGCCGCTGCCGACCCAGATGACGGTTCCTCTGTGGGTACCTCCGCCACGGGGGACGCCTTCGAATCAGGACCTCCTCCTCGACGTCGCTTGGATGCTGGACCTTCGTCTCCGTCTCCGTCCTCCGCGTCGTGGTCGACGTCCATGTCCGAGTCGCCCGGTGAGTCGAACGGGGTTTGCTGTGAGTTGATGTCATGGTACTGTGTCACGCCCGTTCTCCGCATGCTGCCCAGTGTATCCTTGGCCCGGGTCAGGTTCTCGAGAAGAACGCACCCTTGATCACTCACGTCTGGCCGAACGTGCTCAGGTGCACACCGTAGTAGCTGTGTGCCGTGAACGATCCAGTAGATGCGTGGTCCACTCTCGTCCTGGCGCATCTCCTTGAACACCACGACTGCGGGGCCCTTCGACTTGTTCTTGATCAGCTTATTAGTCTTGCCCTCGCGCCAGTAGTAACGCCGCTGGCCGATGGACAGATCGTGCTTGAGCGCCACGTGTCGTCGTGGGAGTGCGCGTCGAAGTTTAGCTGAGGCGTCCGCCTTCATGAAAGCTAACGCTGCCATAGACCTCCTTTCCAGCACGTCCTTGAAGTCCACGTCCTCCTTCATCTGGCACAGGGTCGCCGGTGAGAACTTGTCGCTGGAGTTGGTCATCGTCGTAGTGGGGTCCATGCCCAGAACCCACTGGCATGGTGAGTACCCTTTTGTGAACGCCAGTCGGTTAACCTGGTGGGGTACATAGATGCACGCCTCGGTGATCAGTTTCTCGTCGAGCACCGTGTTAGCCGCACGCTCAATAGCGTCCTGGCAGTAGAGCTCGATCGCCTCTCGAACCACTTGATGACGTCGCTCCACCACTCCGAGACTAGAGTGAGCCTCGCCTGCTGCGTTCACAATACTGATGCTATGTTGTTCCAGAAACTGCGTGAACTTGTCCGACGCAAAGCCTGAGCCGTCGTCGGTGCGTAGCTCGCCCATGGGACCGAACTGCCTGATCCAGCCGCGCTCGACCGCCTTGATCAGTTCGTCGGCCGTCTCCGTCTTGATTGTCCGTAGGGCACAGTACCTGGCAGCACCGTCCACCATCGACAGGATGGCCGTCTTGCCTGTCACTGTCTTGACCCAGAACACGTCGGTGTAGACGGTCTCGTTGAACTTCGTCGGCTGATTGGCTGACGCTGTGGGTGCCTTCGGCGGGCGCTGCCGCTGCATACAGTGCTCGTAGCGATACTCAGACGCGCAGTTGAGCACGTTCTCCTCAGCTCCTGCTTGCTGTAGTAACCGATGTAGTACCGTCGGGTTGGGATGTCCCATGTTCCGGTGTAGCCGCTTGACGTAGCGCAACGCCTCGGTGCCGTATTTCTCGCGTAGCTGCGAGTGCACGTGAACAACCTCCTCCTTCGCCGTCTCGTCCGTCGAGGTGGGGTTGCTGCCGCTGCTGACGTCTTCGCCGTTGTAGATCTCCTCGACCTCGGCCTCCACCATAACTTGTGCCAGGGTGGCTGCCAAGATGAACGGGTAGTCCTCCGTGACCTTCGTGCGCTTGACGCTACTGCCGTCCACGTTGCCTTCCAGTACTGCGTGCTGATGACACCTGTCGCATCGCGTGCTCATGATAGCCGCCATGAGCTTCTTGGTGGTCCTGATGGTGGTGGGCTTCTTGACCGGCTGATCGTCGTTCCCTGGTAGGGTGAGACCGTACATGCACTGGTCGAAGGTCGCTTTGTAGCCCGGTAGGTTGGACCAGGCTTTGGTCTGCCAAGCCCTCGATGTGGCTGGATGTCCCACGTGAGCACGACGTCCACCTTCACACTGAATGTGGTAGACGTCCGCCACGAATTGCAGGTGTGTCCGATGATGCCAGTCACGTAGCTCAATAAGATACTCCTTCCAACCTGGGTGTTGGTGAATGTTTAGCTCCTGCATGTTGGACCAAGGTCCACTCATCGGGGAGAGATGTACTTCGTCTGGCTGTTCTTCGTGTAGCTTGCGCTTGAACCGCTCTCGGTGTTCGGCCTTCGCGAAGTCCCAGCCCGTGTGTAGTCCGAACGTCTCGACGTCCGCTCCAAGGTCGCGTAGACTCTGAGATAACCTAGCTTCGCCTGCATAGACCTCCCAGACCTTCCGTCGCGTAGTGCAGCGCTTTGCCGCTGCCCGCCGCATCGTCTGCATGTACTGGTCGCTCGCGTGCTTGATCGCCGAGTCGATCTTCTGAATGAAGTTGGTCGTGACCTGCCTCTTGTCGCCATCGTCGCTGCTGTACGTGTCCTGATCGGTGAGTTGCGTCGCGTCGCTGTAGGCGTCCGCCAGGCACCAGCATGGTTCTGGCAGGTTCGGGCCGACTGGCTGGATCGGCGTCGTTGCGAAGCAAAGGTTGCCGCAGGAAGCATGATTCTGACACCGATGCTGCTTCATGTAGTCTCCACAACAGTTGACCTTCACGACTCGTTGCGGGCATCCGTCTGAGTGCGCCCGCTGCGGTGCAACTTCCCATTGTTCCCCGTCGTCGCTGCTGCTATTGTCGACCTTGTAGATTTCATCTAGAAACTCCAGGCCGCTGATGGTCCTATCGCCGTCCATGAACTCATTGAAATCGACTGGCTCGTACTCGAAGTCCAGCTGAACGTCCTTCGTCTGGTCGTCCATGTCCTCAAGCAGATCCACCATGTAATGGCCCTGCGGAGACGTGCGCGCCTCCTCGTAGCTGCCGCCGTTCCACGCCAGTTGCTGATTCGCAAGGTCGACCTGCACTGCAAACTTCTCCAGTAGGGGCCGCGGGAAGAGTATTGGCGTCTTCCCTGGAACTAGGTAGATGTCCAGGGTTCCCGTCTTGCTCTTGAAGCTCGCTGGAATGACACCGCACCACAGTGCGTGCTCCACCTTGCCATTGCCGAACCGGAATGGCCTCCGACACGTGTGAAACTCCAGCGTCTCGATCGGGTAGCCCCTGGCGTGGCATGTGGTCAGGTATTCCTTGATGGTCTCCGAACCTGACATAAGCGTAGTCGCGCCGCCGTCCAGGATCGCCCACTGTGCGGGAATGACGCTGGCCGTCTTGCGGTCGCCCCAGTAGACTTCGTCGACCATCATCTCTTGATCCATCTGTCCATGGGGCCGCTTCTTCGGCGGTTCTGGGCAGTCCTTCGCCCAGTGTCCTACTCCGCCGCATCGTAGACAAGTCGCCTTGGATGGTGCTGGCCTCGTAGCTGCCTCCGCCCTCTCCGTGGGTCTTGGCCTCGTATATGGATTGCATGGGCGAGATGTTGCCGAGTGTGGTGAGCCCTTCCGTCCTGGGCTACCTTTCTTGCCAGCTCCTCGAGATCGTCCGCGTCCTTTTGCTCCGCCCTTGCTCGGAGGGCGCCTCGGTGCTGCCGATGCTGATGATCCCGTCGCACCTGGTACCATCGCCACTACCGGGTAGTAGCCTCGTGCAAGCTTCAAGTCATTGAAGCGCTTGCGAGCGTCGTGGTAGGCCGCGTAGACCTCGTCGTACCCCGATACGTCGAAATCTTGCATCCTGGCCGTGTCCCGCTGATAGTAGGCCTCCTCGCAGTCGTACCAGCTCTCGTCGCCGTCCTCGGCCCAGTACTCCTGCTCGTAGCCGTCGTCGAACTCTAGTACGTCGTCTTGGCCATACAATGCATCTTCTTCGTAGTACTCTCCTGTCTCGTCGTCCACGTGGTACTGCTTCCGTGCATGATTAGGCTCGTATACTGTGCTCTCCTGTCCGAGTGTCGTCTCCAGCGCCTCGATCATTTTGTCCTGTGTGATATCCTTGCCCACGATGGACATGACGACTGCCTTCTGATCTGAACTGTAGCCGCCTCGTCGTAGAATCAGCCATCCTCGGACCTTGGATGGCAGCTCGATGTCGTGCGTCTTGAGCTTCCGCTCTGACGCCCGAGCTCGTGATATGTAGCTGAACAGGGTATCTGCTCGATTCCGTCGTAACTTGTAGAAATACTCCTCAAAGTCGTCTGCCAACTCCGTCCGCGTGTCCATCTTGAATCGCTTCCGTAAGCGCGTGAGCAGCGCCGTCGCCGCGCCTGGCTTGATCAGGTCGTCCGCCGTGAGATCCTCAACTTCGTCCCAGGCTTCACCCGTCAGCCCGGCCGATAACATGAGAGCCGCTTCGCCCTCCTTCTTCTCCAATGTAAGTTTCGCTATGAACATGGTCGCCCGCTTCTCGTACTCCTTCCACCTCGACAGTGTGCCATCGAACTGTGGAACTCCGCGTTCTGGTAGTATTGACTGGTCGTCGGTTCCTCTGCCGCCTGCTTTCGCCATGAAGCTAGCCTTTGCTGCGTAGAGGTCGCTGTCGCTGTCGCGGGAGGGGCACTGCTGCTCGTACTCGCCGCTGTCGCTGTTGCTCTGGACCTCGCTGGAGGTCGATTCCGAGTCGTAGCTGAGGTCGGGCTCGAAGCTACTCGATATGGAGATGTGGCCGTCGCTGATGACCGAACCACGAGTTATGAGGGGCGCTGGCGAGCCTGCCGAGTGATCGACAGGCTCCGCTACCAATATGAACTTATCAAAGCCCACGAAGTCTTTGATGGCATAACACTGATGATGAAAGAGAATATCATTCTCACATCGCGCTCGGTCTGACTCAAGGGCCCTGCCGCAATCCAGGGCCGAAGCGGTTGCGGGCTCGCGCTATACAACACACACGCACGAGCATGCACACTAGATGCACAGCGTATATCTCACACTTCCCCCTCCCTCCTCCTCCCACCTCCTCCTCCATCCCTCTATTTTCCCTCGTTCCCATCACTCTCCTCCTCCTCCTCCTCCTCCTCCTCCTGGGTTTGCTGTAGCATGGGATTCAGGAAGTGAGTGCAGGTTTTCGCTTGTAGCCTTTTCTCTCAAAGGGGGGGGGGGGGGCCAGTGTCGCGGGGCTGCATGGCCCTGGCTCTGCGGCCGCAGCGCGCTGCCGCCGAAGCCCCTGGCGCCGTGCTGCTACGCCACGCGGACCTGTCCTACCAGGCCTTCTTGCACCAGGCAGGCTGGGGCGCCTCTGGCGGCGTGGAGGCCGCGGAGGCGGCCGCCCCTGCCACGGCCGCGGCCACAGAGGCGGGCTTGGCCCGCGAGGCGCTGCTCCGGGCCACGACCTGGTGGTGAGCGTCGGCAAGTGCTGAGCCAGACGTCGTCACAATGGCGAGCAGGCGCGCCGGGCAGCCTCCGAGGATATCGGCAAGCCCGGAGGAGCCGAGCCTGCGCGAGCCGCAGCGGCGAGGGCTGGCGGCGCTGCGACTGGCCAGCGGCCACGCTGTCATGGAGGAGGCGTTCTGGAGTGAACTCCTCCCCGGTGGCTATGTGGCCGTCTTCTACGGAGACGACACCGCGTGGCATGAGAGACTGCTGTTGGGCCAAGTAGATGCCCAGCACTGGGCGATAGAGACGCCCGACCGTGACATGCACATCGAGAACATCGCTTGCACCGGTCCCGAGGACGGCCCCTGCCGCGCCGTGGTGCTGGATGACAGTGGAGCCCTGCCTGTTTTCTTGCGGGGTCGTACCCACCGTTTCAGGGAGCACCTGGGGGAGGAGGACTTGCTGGAGCGCATGCGGGAGGCAGGGCAGCTGGCAGTCGAGACGGGCTATGACAAGCCCACGCACACGATGTACCTGGACTCCCTGGGCGAGCGCAGGCCGCTGCCCGCGGCTGGGGCTACGGAGCGGCGCCGCCGCAAGGGCTTGCCGGCGCCGCCGCCTTCGGAGCCGCCCCCAGCTATCGGGGAGGGAGCCGCCGGGTGGCCGGCAGGCGGCCGGCCCGCCGCCGACGCCGTCAGCGGGGTGATCCCGGAGGAGGAGGTGGACGGCACCTCAACGCCCCCCGCCCTGGATGGCAGTGGGGAGGCCGCGAGGGGTGCGACGCGCTGGGCACCCATGGAGACGCTGGGCTTCGCCGAGCAGGGCGACGTGGTAGAATTGACGGACGGCGACAAGGTGATGGGCGAGAGGGCACTTCACCGGCTCCCAGACGGCCGGGTCGCCACCGCCCGTCCGGCCTCCAGTCTGGTCTCAGACCAGGGGGCACGCGGGGCTGGGGATGGAGCTGATGCCCGCGCACGGTCGCCGGCGGTCTGTGGTCCAGGAGGGAAGTGGGCCATGGAGCAGCGCATCGGGTCTGACTCCACGGCCTTCCTAATGCACGACCTGGCGAGGTTGGCGCTGGACTCCACGGCGTGCTACGACCAGTGCGACGGCGGCAACCCTGCCAGCGCGAAGGTGCTGACGCGGCTGCACCAACTGGCGAAGGAGACCAGCGGGGCGCTGCAGCGGGAGGGGGACGAGCACTACCTGGGCCGCGACAGGACCGGAGGTCCGCGTCTTGGCGAGGTGCCCAACCCATCGCTGGCGCAGTGTGCGACGGGGAGGAAGAGCAAGGAGACGGAGATGAAGAAGCAGCGGCGGGAGGCTCATGAAGAGGAGGAGGCCGCGAAGAAGAACATGGGAGGCAAGTCAAGCGGGGGCAGGGCGAGCCCCTGAGGGAAGGCAGCGCTGCGGAGGCCCCCGGCCGCAGCGGCGCGCATAAGGGGTCAATTCATCGTCGGAATGCCGCCGTTGGAGAGGGGGGTGGTTTTCTTCCACTCGCTTGCCCGCGGATGGAGCAGCGCGACAGTGGAGGCATGCGATTGCCGAGGGGCACTGAGCAGAGAGTTCGTCGACGATGGAAAGTCCAGGAGGCCGCGTGCGACACAATTCGCGCGATCAACCGTCTGGCAGGATTCGAGACGCCCGAGGTGGAGTCCGTCACCGATTTGAGTGGCCCCTCCGCCAAGGTCTACAGTGACGTGCGGCCGCTGCACTCGGACCACGCCCCTGCGCCGGGGAATTCATTTACTCCGAAGGAAGCCTTCGATGAGATTATCGGGAGCGCGCCCTCGTCCTACACTGATGGTGACGAGACTTCCCCCGTTCGGCCCTACTCGCGCGACTTGGTCAGCTGGCCGGCCAAAGGTAACGTGCCTGTGCCACTGGCCACCAACGCGCCGCTGGACATGCCTCAGTACCTCACAGAGGGCCAGCGCGACGTGCGGGCGCGGCAGCCGCGCGAGGTGCAGCAGGTGAGGCAGGACGAGGGCCTGCCTACATTGTATGGCGATACCATTTTGAAGGAGGACCGGAGCGCCTACATTGGCTTCATCAGGGACGGCCTCGCCCGCGGGATCTTCCGCCTGGCGCGTCGTCGGAAGGAGGCAATCAAGATATTCTTCGTCAAGAAGAAGGACGGCAAGATCCGCATCGTAGTGGACTGCCGTCGCAGCAACCAGCATTTTGTGGACGCGCCCAAGGTGCACCTCTTCTCTGGCAGCAGTTTCGCCGATGTGGAGGTCCCCGAGGGTCGTCAGCTTTTCTATGCAGGGGGAGACGTGCAGAACGCGTTCTACCAGCACCGTATGCCCGCTTGGCTGCAGCCCTACTTCGGGCTGGACAAGGTGAGGGCGAGCGAGGTCGGCATCACGCAGTTGGACGGGCAGTACCTGGCGGGGGACACCATGCTCTACCCCTTGATGAACGTGGTTCCCATGGGCTGGAAGTGGGCCCTATACATAGTTCAGCGCATTCATGAACACGTGCTTGATGGTGTGCCTGAGTTGGGACCGCGACGTCGAGCGGTCGACTTTCGCCCTCCGCCCTTGCCTGAGGAGGGCGCGCTGCACACGGTCTACGTGGACAACGTGCTGATCGAGGGCCACGACAAGGATGAGGTGACGCGGCTGCGCCGAGTAGCGTGTGGGGCGCTGCAGGCGGCGGGCTACGCCACCCATGACGAGTCGGACGCAGCTGAGAGCATGGAGATGTTGGGCGTCGCGCAGCAAGGGCAGCCTTGCCGGGTGGCCGTTGCCGCCAAGCGGTACTGGAGGCTCTGGAAGGCGCTGGAGTGGATCCATCGCCGACGGCCTCCGATGACCAGCCGCCAGCTAGAACGACTGATCGGCCGCTTTACTTTCGTTGCCTTGCTAAAACGTGAGCTCCTCAGTGGTCTCCGCGCTAGCTATGATTTTGCTCGAGGGAATTTTAACGAGCCCAGGATCCTCTGGAAAAGCGTTTTCCGTGAACTCCGCTCGATCCAGGGCCTTCTGATTTTTGCCTCCCGGGATCTGGATCCGAAATGGTCCGAGGAGGTCCTGGCCTATGATGCATGTGAGTCTGAGCACGCTACAGTAAGGGGGGCTTGGACGGTGGGGGATGCACAGTCGGTAGGTAGATGGCATGAGAGGTGGCGGTTCAAGAATGACGAGGACCCAGCAGGGTTCAACCCGCGTGCCAACGGGTTGAAGGACGTCTCGGTGCTCGGGGCTGGAGTCTGGGAGGATAAGGAGGTCGATTTCAGCAACGTCTACGTTAATAGGGAGTTCCCTGAGGTGCCCGCAAGTGTGGTTGAGGCTACGTCGTGGTCCGTCGAGCGTTTCCAGCCCGTCTTCACGTATGAGCCGATACATGTCACCGAGATGCGAGGTTTCTTGGGAGCTATTCGTCAGGCCGTACAGGATCCGAAAGATTGGGGTCGCTCGTGGCTGATACTGGGAGATAATTTTGGGCTCATCTTGTCCCTCTCCAAGGGTCGGTGTCGATATCCACGTCTTCTCATGCTTCACCGTAAGGCCGCTGCGTGGGCTCTAGCCACTCGGTCCAGATTCGTGTGTCGATGGATACCTTCCGAACTTAATCCCGCCGATGGACCCTCCCGCAAGCGGGAGCCACCTACGAAGAGCAACGCAGTCACCGCCAGTTGGGCGGTCAAATCATCTCCGCTCACGGGCCAGGCCAGATCGCAATCAGCAGGCGACAGGCCAGCCGATGGAGCCTGGCAGATCGAGCGAGACGCAGAGGGACAAAAGGCAGAAGACCGGCCTGAACGTGTCGAGCTTGGTCGGGGCCAACCAACGAGCACCTGGACACCTGATCTTGGGCCTGCTGGAACTCGAGGGGGCCGAGCGCGGGAAGGAGCTGAAGCGGCAGCAGAGGCGAGCCGCGGGGCGACTGGCAACCCAGGGGGAGCTGCGGGACACGACAGAGGACCCCGGCACTACCGAGGAGGCCTCGCTGACGCTGAAGACCCGAGGTCAGTGCAGGCGACTGCTCTCGGATTTCCGGACGACGCTGCGCGTCGTGAACCTCAGCCTGCGCCCCGCGGAGCTGGACGCTCACGTGGTCTGCTACTTCGATCGGCTTCTTCTCGAGGGCAAGGCGCCTTCGACTGGAGAAAGGCTCATCGCAGCAATACACTACGTGGAGCCTGTGTACAACACCAAGGGGATGATGAGCCTGCCCAGAACAAAGTGGTCATTGCGGGGTTGGCGTCGTTTGGTGCCGAAGGGGGCCCGCCGACCCCCGCCGTGGGAGGCGGTCGCCGCGATCGCGGTGAACCTGCTGCGCATGGAGGGGATGGACGTGGCGCTCGCCTGGCTGCTGATGGTGGACACCTACACGCGGCCGGGAAAGTGCCTGGACACCAGGGCCTCCCAGGTGCTCAGGGCGACGTCGCAGCGGCACCTGACGTTGGCCGCCATCCTGCCGCCCCTCGTGAGTCGCTCCTGGCTGTCAGACATACTGATGAGGTACGTGGACGCCTGCCCCAGCACGGAGCCCTTGTGGGACTTCAGCCTGGAGCAGATGAACACGAACTTCATCACCGTATGCGCGGTGCTGGGGTACCGGAAGCCCGCGCTGTACATGGGAGGGCACTCCAGTGCCAGCATGGATCGACTCCGCAACCGACTCGACCTCGCAAAAGTGCAACGTCGGGGGAGATGGACGAGCATGGCTTCGGTCGGGAGGCACAGGAAAAGGGCCAAAATGCAGGACGTCTACAACAAGCTAGACCAGCGCAGTCGCCTGATGTGCACCAGATGCTCGTTCGACCTCGAGGCAGCCAAGCTCAGAGCCGGCCGACGGCTCCGCGCGCACCTGCACGTGCCGCCAGGAGAGGCTTCTTTGTGATTGAAGTGTTCAGTGGTTGCGGCAGCTTCAGCCGTGCCGCAAAGCGCAGAGGGATCGATGCCTTTGCTCTCGATATCTTGCAAGGCCCACAGGGAGATGTGACGCGCGTCAGCGTACAACGACGCATCAGGAAGTTAATTGCGCACCCTCGTTGTCTCGGCATGCTCTGTGCTCCACCGTGTACCACGTACAGTATCGCGAGAAGGCCAATGATCCGCTCCAAACAACACATCTGTGGGCTGCCAGATGCCGAGCCCCACGTTCGAAAACAACTCGAGATGGGGACCCGCCTCATGCAGCTGACTGCCCAGTTCTGCGCCTACGCTTCTCAGTGCAGCGTACCGTGGGTCATCGAAAACCCGCAGACAAGCCTGATTTGGTCCACCCCCGAGTTCCAGGGCCTCAGTCGAGGCCTCAAAGTCGAGAACATCGTGACTCACATGTGTGGATTCGGGGCGATATGGAAAAAACCTACGACTTTATGGTGCGCTGGACTGATAGGAATCGAGAACATGAGTTCCAAGTGTGGTAGCAACGGTGCCAGGCCCTGCGAGTACTCACAGCAGCCCCACATTGTGTTGTCTGGTGGGGACCCTTTGGGGGTCCGCTGGACTAAGCGGGCGGCCGCCTATCCCTATCGTTTTGGGTCCTGCCTGGCCATAATCTTCGTCGACAACGGGTTCGCTAGAGTACTTCGGGCCTCTTGCCGTTCCAGTATTTCGGTGGTGCCCTGGGCGAAAGTTAGACTGAACAGGAGTACCTCGAACCGCTAACGAGTTTTGCGCATTTGGGTGGTATCTATGTTTTCAGGGCGCCGACGCGCCACCGCTCTGGAGTGCCCCTGGATCCGTGCCGCCTCGACGCACCAAGGACTGCAACAGAAATCAGGTTCAAGAAAAACTGGAATGGCATAACTGATCCTCCTCCTCCTCCTCCTCCTCCTCCTCCTCCTCCTCCTCCTCCTCCTCCTCCTCCTCCTCCTCCTCCTCCTCCTCCTCCTCCTCCTCCTCCTCGCACCCCCGGCGTCGGGCGCTCTCGTGGCCCGCCCGCCGGCCGTGCGCGCCGCCCCTCCACGGAGGCAGGCCCCGGAGGGCTCCGCCTGGGCGCCGCCCGCGGCGTCCTCCGGGGCACCGCGGCGGGCGGCTGCGGCGATGACGAGGGGCGAGGGGCGAGGAGCGAGAAGCCGGGAGGGACGAGGGGCGAGGGGCGAGAAGCGAGAAGCGAGAGGCAGGGAGGGGCGAGGGGCGAGGGGCGAGGGACGAGGGGCGAGGGGCGAGAAGCGAGAAGCAGGGAGGGGCGAGGGGCGAGGGGCGAGAAGCAGGCCTGGCGCGAAGGAAGGCACAACTCTTCGCATCGTTTTATCCGCAAGTGGTTCGCCCCCTGCCGCCGGCCCCCTCTCTGTCAGAACGGGACACACCAGAGTCGCGTCGGTGCGTCTCGGCGCTGCCTTGGCGCATCTGGGAACATCATGCGGGGGTGGATAGGAATCATCAATGCATATTGAGACGTGGGCGTTACCGAAGACGCCTACGGCGAATCACCGCCGCCCCCTGCCCTTGTGGAAGTGCCTATGTGTCCGACAGCTGGGCTAGAGCTTGGCCAAGCTATCGGATCATGTGTTCCCCGAGTCGGTTTGGAAAGGTTTCGGGGAACGCGGGGGGGAGGAAGGGGAGGAGGAGGAGAAGAAGGAAAAAAGAGAAGGGGGAGGATGCCTCTTCGGAGCCTCTTCAGGCACTCTTGGTCTCGATTGGGTCATCTTGGGACCGTCTTGGAGACCATGTTGGGGCTATCTTGGGGGGCTCTCTGTGGGCCTCTTGAGGGCCTCATGGGGCCATTTTGATGCTTCTCGGGGGCTTCTTTGACCGTCTTATGGCGTTCCTGGCCCGTCTGACACCGTCGGGAGCCGTCTTGGGGGCCTCTCTGAAACGACTTGGGGCCCTCTTGGGACGCTTCGGGTCCGTCTTGGAGGCCAGCTTGGCCGTCTTGGAGGCCTCTTGAGCCGTCTTGGGGCCGTCTTGGGGGCTTTTTGGGCCGTCATGGGGCCATCTTGGAGGCCTCGTGGGCGATCTTGGGGCGATCTTGGGGGCCTATTGGGCCGTCTTGAGGTCTTCGGAAGGACGAAAGGAAGCAAATGCCAAAATCCTTCAAAAACCTAAGGACAACAAACATTTTGGCCTCTTCGGGCCCTCATTGAGGACCTCTTGGAGGCGTCTTGGGGAGCTCTTGGGGGCCTCTTGGGCCGTCTTGAACCATCTTGAGGCTATCTTAGGCCGTCTTGGAGGCATCTTGGGCCATCTTGGAGGCATCTTGGGGCCATCTGAGCCGTCTTGGAGGCCATGTTGGCCGTCTTGGAGGCGTCTCGGAGGCCGTCTTGGAGCCGTCTGGAGCAGGAAAAACCCTTGGCAACCACCTCTGGGCAATCTGGAAGATTTTTCTGGGTGGCCAGCGTACTGAAGCCTAAGCCTCCCAGCTTGATGGCCTCACAAGGGGGTCGGCGGATTACGATTCGTAATATCAATATTAGCATGTGATGTGTTATTATTCTTCTGAGTATGTTATTAGCATTGCCATTCTTATTTGTATTATTATTATTATTATGATTATTGTTGTTCGAAGGGACCCTACCTGTGGACCCCGTCGCGTGGTCCTTTGCCACCCCACAAAGAATTCAAAGAATCCTCCCCGCCCGCGGCGGAGCACCTATGGGATTTCATAGGGATCCTATGGGATCCCATAAAATCCTTTAAACAAATTCCCTACGGATCCATGGGATTCCATAGGATCCTATGGGATTCCTGGAGTTCCCGTGGGGTTCCAATGGGTTCCTGGGGATCCCCTAGGATTCCGAGGATTCGTAGGGTTCCCTATGGACCCCTATGGGTTCCCAGGGATTCCTCAGGAGTCGTCGGATTTCTACCATTCCCTGGGGATTTCAGTGGATTCCTTGGACTCCCTAGGATCCGTAGAATTCCTAGGATTCCAATGGATTCCTAGGGATTCCTCAGGATTCCTAGGATTCCCTAGGATTCCCTAGCGATTACTATGGATCCCTGGGGATTCCTAAGGAGTCATCGGGTTCCCTGGGTCCCGATGGATTCCTAGGATGCCATAGGGATTCCTATGTGTTCCCCCGGATTCCTAGGGATTCCTATGGATTCCGGAGGATTCCTAGGATTCCCGAAGATTCATCGGATTCCCTGGAGATTCTGATGGATTCCGAGGGATTCCTAAGGAATCATAGGATTCCTAGGATTCCCAAGGGATTCCGATGGATTCCCAGGATTCCTTAAGATCCATAGTATTCTTAGGATTCATTAGGGATTCCTGTGGATTCCCAGGGGTTCCCTTGGATTCCTAGGATTCCCCAGGGATTACGATGGATTCCTAGGGATTCCTTAGGATTCTTAGGATTCCTAGGATTCCCTATGGATTCCTATGGAGTAGGATTCCCTAGGGATTCCCAGGATTACCAGGATCCCGTAAGATCGTTAGGATTCCCTAGGGATTCCGATGTATTCCCTAAGATCCTTCGGATCTTTATGATCCCCTACGGATTCCTATGGATGCCCTAGGGATTCCGTAGGATTCCCAGGATTCCGAGGATTCCGAGGGATTACTAAGGATTCCTAGGGATTCCTAGGGGCTCTTAGCTTTTTCTATGGATTCCTATGGATTCCCGGGGATTATTTGGATCCCCGAGGGATTCCCATGGATGACGGGAAGCGACTCCAGCGTGCACCGTTAGTTCTGGGGTTTCTCAATTTTCTCTAACTACGGGGTACCGGGTCCATCGCGAACCTCGTTGACGGACACCGGGTTTCGGGCCCAAGACAGCCCAAGAAGCCTCCAAGATGGCGAAAGATCCCTTGAGCACTCCCCAGACGACCCAAGAGAGGCCCAAGAGGGCTCCAAGACGGCCCCAAACCGATCCAAGACAGCCCGAGAAGCTTTCCATCTGCTCCAGAGAGCCCCAAGAGTCCTCCCAAGAGGGCCCCGCAAAGCAAAAATCAGTAGTTTTCCATGTGTTTTTGGCCGTTCTGGGGGTTCTCGCCTTTTCGAGCTTCCACCGGCCCAAGAGGCGCCCAAGACGGCCTAAGAGGGCCCCAAGACGGCCCCAAGAAGGGCCCAAGAGGGGGACCACGAACTGACAATTCAAGCCTTCCGCCCCAAGAGGCCCCCCAGAGGCCCCCAGGGGCCCAAAAGAGGCCCAAGAGGCCCCAAGTTGGCCCCCGCATTGCCCAAAAGAGGCCCCAAGAGGCTCGAACACGGCCCCCACGAGGCCTGTGGCCTGTGTTATTTCAGGGGGGGCATCGACATGATATCGCCGTTCTTCGGGTTCTTTGAGGGGCCTCCTTGACCGTCTTCGAGCGCTCTGGGACCGTCTTGGGGCTCTCTCGGACAACGGCGGCCCATGTGTGACGACGACGACGACGAACGACCAACTACCAACGACCAACGACCGACGACCGACGACGACGACGACGACGACGACGACGACGACGACGACGACGACGACGACGACGACGTCGACGACGACGACGACGACGACGACGACGACGACGATGACGACTCCCGGGAGCGCCCCCGGAGGCCTCCAAACGGCGCAAGAAAGCCCCAAGACGGGCCAATATGGCGCCGAGACGGGGCACCGGGTCCATCTTGACTCCTGATCATCCGGCTCGTTTCCATTGTGCTCGCGTCCTGCACGCTGTCCTCAATGTACGCCCAACGAGCTCCGCAAACTTTTTTGATTCGCGGGTCAAGAGCGCACCTTTTCCGGTCGAAGCTAAGCGGGCCGCGCGAAGCTTGAATTAGCAGAGCTCCGCAAACAAAAAAACGGCGCTTCCCGTTTTTATCTGGGCAGGTTCTTGGAATCCTTGGGATTCTTTAAGATCCCTAGGATCCCCGAGGGATTCCTATGGATTTGCATGGATTCTCAAGGATTCCAACGGATTCTTGGGATACCCGAGGGATTCCTAGGATCCCCTAGGGATTCCTAT